GAAGTATACCGGTGTTTCGTCCATGTTGACCAAACGATCCATCGGAACATTCGCCAAGGTACCAAAAGGGAGGAACCTATTGTTGACGTTGCCAACAAAGTCGTCCATGGTAGCTTGCAGGTGGTTCGAACGCTTCTGTCCTTGGCGAGTTGGACGACGAAGGCACAGGTCGTTCCGATTCAAGAATTCGTAGACCCAGTTTGATAATGCCTTCGGCTGGCCACCATGGAAGGAAGGATCGATGCTCAATGCCTTGACAATGAGCATTTTCGTACTCACAGCGATGTCTTCGTCGCGCAGGGACTTGCAGTAGGTCAGCACTTCGGCTTCGACCAGAGGCTTTGACACTCCATGGCCTTTTCCTACTGTCAACTTGCGCGGCGATTTGGCTGCTGCTACTTTCAAACTGGCCAAGTTCTTGATCCATCTAGAAACCTGACTGGTTTGAAGACCATGCCGCTTTGCGGTGGCGTAGGCGCTCTCGTTTGCCTTCGTGTTCTCGGCTACGATGGCTATCTTGGCTTTGACCGAGTAGTACTGCTTACGGCCGATGCTTGGCGATGGGGAAGGCATGAAATTCAAATGTACGTGAGCTGCAGCAAAACGAAACGAACGAATCACAGGTATTCACTATATTCAAACTAACCAATCACATTGTATCACACTCTGCTGGTTGACCCGAGCTCTCCTTGTCTAGCTGTACCCATTTGCACCAGATTTTACTGACATTTCAGGGGGTACTGGTAGGTGGGGAATACGGTAGATTTGAGATATATTTCTACCGTACGAAGAGTTAGGCTTCTAAATTATTAAAAAACATTTACTTGTGTGGTAAAAATACATATATTTGCGATAAATTTCTACCGTCCGAAGAGTTTGTGCCATCGGCAATAATTGCGTCGGTAGACATGAGAGATTCCCGTTGGTACCCCTTCTTCGACCCCCAAAACTCCAACATAATGTCGTAATGGGGGGGCAAGGGGGCCAGGGGAGCGTTCCCAGTATCGCTGGGGTTCGAGGGCTTTGTCATGGCCCACGTTGTCTTCAATTTCGAGAACTAAAACGCATCAATCAAACGACAAAATCAAACTTTCGTACCTTGTCCTGGACCTGAGCCACGGTGTAATCGCTTTCCATGGCGACGCTCAGCTCCGCCGCTAACATCACGTACGCCGTCTTCTTCTCGGCGTTGTTCTTGGACTCAAACCTTTTTGCCAAATGCGAGTCGTAACGCAGGCGAAAGAGTGTCGCGACACTCTCATCGCACCACCGGACAGAGTGTTTGGTCTCCGAGGACGCTTTCTTCTCCTTGCTCTTGCCTGCCTTGGCCTTTGGGGTGGCAACATCTATGGTTTTATGTGTGACTCATGATATGTATGCATGTATTGCATCAACCTAGCACCATCTCTGCCGGCGGTTGGACCTCATGGTCGGACATGGCTGACTTGGTCGCACAAAAGCGTGCGAAAAGCAGGAATGACTGGTTACAGGCAGGAATGGAGAGTCCATGCTTTTCATGACACGAAAAGCAAGGACTACATTCGGATTACGGATAATTGTAGCCAATCAAACTGATTTTGCAAAAGCAGGAATGGCCAAAAGCAGGAACAATTCGTTCGCAGACCAGGCTCTAACGTTAATGTAAATATTCCGGAAGAGTAATTTAATCAAAAATAATATACAACAACATTGCTCAACATAGTCAAATACAATACAGCATGCAATTATAAAAATTCCCATTCAATTCACACTGATGACCAACGAAGGCTGACTCGTGGAGAATGCTCGCCGGCCTTCATAACGTTGTCCATGCGCCAGGACAACAGCCTCGCGATGCCGGACCGTTGGTTTCCGACGCGGTTCCTCGTCTTCAGATCACGTCGTCCTCCTCTTCCGTCCACGTCGCTTTGTTCACCGGTGAGATTAGGTGGTCCGACCACCTTTCGCGGCATTTCTTGCCGCACCGTCCGGGCAGCAGGGGTCGAAAATACGCATATTATATGTATTTTCTAGCAACTCAGTGCATACATAATGCATAATTGTTGCAAAAGCCTGAAATACATTATGCATATTATGCAATATATGTGCATTAATGCTCATATCTTTTCTCAAGCGTTTCGTGGACAGTCGATACGTCCCAGTAGGTGGAGTGTGCGAGAAATGACTAAAACAGCGAACCTCAAATGAATTGGCAGCATACCAAGCAACTCGATCGCACTGGCTCTTATCATACCTGATAGATACACTAGGGGCTGAAGGCTTTCGATTGGCCTTTCGACAAGGCGCAACGACCTGGAACGCAAGGAGTAGTGACTTCACCTCAAACTGTTCGGTAATTTTGATGGACTTGACTTTGGATTGCGATAAATTTTAAAAACCAATTATTAATACTAGTAACACAATAGTGAAACGTTGCTTCAAATATGACTTGAAGATAGTCATATTTTATTATCAACTGTTTTAGCTAACTTAGAAAGTACATGACTTTGATATTGAATATCTCTCTGACGGCTTGTCTACGAGCGGTGTAATGAATGTAGATATTGCAAACTTAGTTACAGGCTATCGTTCAAAGCAAGAAATATGGCGATTGAAACATTGTAGCATGAGTGATGTGTCCTCAACGTAGCAAAATACTCATACAACCTACTTGAAAGTAAATAACTCCATGAATATAGCTCATAGTGACCTCTATGATACGTCATGTTGTACAGAAAACGCTGGAGAGCACGCAGATTGAGTCTCGGGCTGGTCAGTTTACATTGGCTCATTTTGTGTGGCTTTGAATGTGGCTGTCTCAAATATAACATCCAAGTTAACCAACTTTGTTAACCATATTTGTTTACAGTTAACATCACAAAACATTGTTTTGATTTGCCAATGTTATAAATATCTATTCACGCCATGATGGTTTACATGTTTCGAAGAAAAGTGCGTTACCAAAGCATCACCAGCGACGATGCGACGACGAAGGTATCTGTCAACCATGTGAAGCAAGAACTGATGCGGTGGTGTAACATTGCGACAATAATAGGCATCAGCTCCATCGAGTTCATTGTAATATGCTCATTTCCCGCACCCTCCAGGATTCACAGTGAGTATATTTACATTAGTTCAAGTAAAATAACATTTCGACGATCTCAGGTAGATTTGTCGTAGTTCGTCGAATCTACCGAAGAAAAGTGCGCTTTTCCATGGAGCACGGTTGACGGCCAAATCACCAGCGAAGATGCGACGACGAAGTTTTCTGTCAACCAGGTGAAGTAGGAACTAATCCGATCGTGTAACATTGCGATTCTAGGCATCAACTCCATCGAGTTTCAACGCTCTTTCGGCAAATCCAGCCTCGTCGTACGAGGCATCATCCGCGCCGTAGTTGCTTCGCAGTGCAGCAACAGCCAACTTATCAGGCCGAGTGAGCGTGCAACCACGTTGAAGGTTCGTGACGGCATTATCAAAATTTGGGTTGCCAACAATATTTGCTGAAACATATTCAAAGTCTACGTGAAATATTTCATATATACAACTCATGATATTTCGTACCAACGTAATGCTCAAAGCTGGGAAAGTCAACGACTAGACCATCAAAGAGAGTTCGAACCTGCCACATTGTATGTAGCGATATAATTAATAACATCAAACCGAGCCTTACGAACTAACAGGTGTGCGAATGACTGGGTGCTAAGCAATATCGTCGGTGTTATTATGTTACAAATTATTTTTTATGCATTGTCAAATCGAGTCAAAATACATCATGCATATTTTTTTTAATTCTCGAAAATACATTATGTATGAAACCCCAAAATATTTACTTCGAAGTGCTCGCGCCAGACGAATGCACTGCGACCACCGCCTTCCAGTGCCGTCCACGCGCTGCTGCAGGTATATGGCTTCCATGATGTGTGCGGCGTTGCGAGACACTTCAGATGTGCATAGCGACGATAGGAATTGATGCGTTAACAGGTGCTTCCAACATTTTCATGGTGTCACTGGCAACCTTGTTTTCTCTACGTTTGCCAGTGGCATCGTGGCGATGTTGGCAATACACTTAATGATATTCACGTAACAGGAGGCTATGCGAAAGCACGCGACGTTCTCATCATCGTAGGCTCGTATTACTTCCTGTGTACCCTTTAAGCTATATTAGTACTACTGTACGTAGTGCCAGTAAGTGTTAACGATTCAGTCCATAATGGAATGCGACGGGTCGCGGAAGCGGTTAGTTGATGTAAATACACTCGTTATCACAAGGTTTTTAGATAAATTTGAAGTAATTTTTTTTTCTCAATTTATAGATTTCTTTTTAAAATAAGTTATAAATAATATTTCGATATATTTTTACAATACAAATTTTTCTAATAATTATATTTTTTATTTTTATTTTAAACCAAAACTTTATAATTATTTATATATTTTTTCTTCTATTTTAAAGAAATAATCAAATTATATTTTTTATTAGATCTTTTTAAAAATAATTAAACAAAATATTTATAGAATAAATATTATTTTTTATAATCTTAATTCCCTTCATTAAAAAGTATTTAGATAAAGAAATGTTATATAAATATTATATTTTTATATTATTTATATTTTTTAGAGATTTAATTGTTATCTTTAAAGTAACGGCACCTATTAGGGCTATTAATAAAATTAAACCCGCAATTAAAAGAAATAGTGGAAGAGTTTTTATTAAATATTCACTACACTAAAATTTTCATAATACTTCAAATACTTTAATGAACGGTACACTTCATAGTGAAAGTTTAATTCAATTTATTTAAAAATAATAATTTTATGTACTATTTTTTATTTAGAGCGTGGTCTCCGAAGAAATCGTTCTTGCTTTTGGGCGTTCCTGCTTGGAAAATTTTGCGTTGATTGGCTAGAATTATCCGAAATCCGCATAATGTCCCTGCCTAAAACTGTGGTTTGAGGCGTTGATGGGTTGGGTTGTTCACGCCTGCGTTCCTGCCCAGTCGTTCAATATCGGAGACAGCACAATGAACGACGATGAAGTCACGCTTGAGCTAGACTTTGATCACGATGGTACGAGTTGTAGACTATAGGATCATCAAATTCATACGTATTAGACAGCAATCTTCCAGCCCTAGCCAAGACGCCCAAGCGCACACGACGGTCGCCCAGCGGAGCTGCCAAGCGCACACCTTTGTGGGATGATGATGGCGTTGCTGCTTTGTTTCGGTTGCGGTACAAGTCTGAGCTGTCTGCGCGGTTTTACTCGAAGAACAACGCCGACAAGAAGACTGCTTACGTGATGCTGGCTGCCGAGCTAAGCGTGGCCACGGAGAAGGAATACTCTGTCGCTCAAGTGCAAGACAAGGTATGTCGATTTGATGACTATCACGATTCGGTTTCATTGGATGTAGTTTGCGAAAATGAAGTCAGCATGGTCGCTGTCGAAGCCCTCGAATGCGATCGAAACAGGGAATGCTCCCTCCGCCCCATTGCCTCCCCATTACGATGTAATGTTGGAATACTGGAGCGACAAAAAAGGATATCAACGGGAATCCTTAATGTCCACCGACGAGAATGAAATTGTTAATCATATTAATGGTACGTATAATTCATGATCGTTGGCAAAAAACATTTATATATGTAATATTGTAGTGAAACAAGAATCGGGATCAGAATGCGAAGAAGAAATGTTGCGCAGTCGCAAGAAAAAAAAATCCAACCCATCCAAGTCAAAGAGCCACAGCGAGGCGTTGGAGGCCGGATTTATGGCCATTAAGGAAGGTTTGATTCATTTGGGGTCATCACTCTCAGCGGCGCCAAGCCCACAGCCCACCCCGCCAACAGGGGCAACATTGGACGATGTATTGCAAGCCATTCAAGGACAGTCTCAGACGATTGCTCAACTCGTTGCGCATTTAATCGCACAAAAGGAAAAGTAAGATTTCGATTATCAAATTACTATAATCTTTGCAATTCCATTTCTTTTTGTAATTGATGTTCGACGAATGAAACTATTCGTTTCCGTTTCACTTTCATCGGCCTGTTGGAAATATATATTCTGATCGCGACGGTTACAAGGCGCATCGAAAAGTCCGTCGTTAAAGTGGATAAACATGTTGTGCAGTACGAAGCAAGAGGTAGTGATGGCGACCGTCCGGTCCAATGATCTTTCGTTCATCACGCTTTTCAAAATCCGGAATCTCTCCTTGAGGCGCCCAAATGCACACTCGACCACCATTCGAGTGCTGGATAGCTTGTAGTTGAATCGCTTTTGTGTGTTGGACAAACGACCGCCTTCTTCGTGCGGCACATATGGGGTCAACAACCATGGCAGCAATGTGTATCCAGAATCGCCAATAACGTGGCTGCCGGTAGGAATACAGCGACGAATTGTTTGGCCCAGCTGCGACACCTTCCAAATTTTTTTGTCGGAGAACGAACCAGGACGGATGTCCACAGACAAAAATACCATACGGTGGTCCACCATTGCTTGAACATTGAGAGAGGGGTCACCGCTTCGATTGTAAAAACCATCGTACTCACGGGGCCGTTGGATATCAATGAGAGTACCATCCACAGCTCCGACAACGCCCGGAAACCGTTGTGCCTTGTAGAAGCCACGTTCGATTCGACTCCAGTCACCAGGGAAGGTCGGCAGGCGTATCCACAACTTTGCTTGGCTCGCCAACACATCCACCACGGTCGCCACGACTGTGATACACCACGATTTGGCCATTCCAAATGCTGCCGCTGTCTCTCGATAGCCACCTTCGGACCCCAAGAAGTACAGCGTCACAGCCACCTTCTTCTCGAAGGAGTGGCTGGATTGACGCTCGTTGGGTTGCAAACGTTGGCGCAGCAAGTCCACAAGTCGGCGGAAGACAGCTTGGTCACAGCGAAGGTTGTCGTGGAACCACTGCTCGTAGCGTGCGTCACCAAGCATAGCGTCAAAGTTAACTTGAGTAATGGTCAACAAATTGTATTTAGCACCAAGAGGCGTAGTAGCTACCGACATACACACTGCGCATACGGCTGTAGCCACGGCAACAGCAACCCGATTGAAAATGTCCATCGTGGCGAAGCAGGAATGCCTTCACAGACCACAAAAACACAACTAATCCGAATAAATTTTATCCGGACAAAGCTTGAATGCATGAAAGCATGAACAAAAATTCGGAGACCACACTCTTAACCGCGGGTTCAAATCCCGTTTTTTTTTTTTTCGCTTTTTTATAAAGGAACTAGGCAAAATGACTCTGTAACTTCGGTAGAAAGAGTACCATTAAAAGAAGATACAATTAACATTAAACCTAATAAAGAAATTAATATTAATATATTAATTTCGAAAAAAAACATTTTTTGTTTAATAATATAATTAGATTGTATTGTTAAACAAAACGCATAAGTCTCTCGTTTATCCGTACATTATCCATATAAGGTCTGGTCATAAGTCCCAAGATAATTATCAAGTTTTGCGAGTCTTCCTTCGCGCTGCAAATATCTCCTATATTCTATACTCCCCCATTTTATGGATATATAGAGGTTGACTGCAACCAAAAATGGTCAACGGCGAGGGGCGCCGCGACAACCGCGACGCGGACCAAGTTGTCGTCCCGTGTCCTAGTATGAACGCACAGCGGAAGTTCGACTGTACATGACAGTAAGATTAACAACATAAGAACCTTAGATAAACGTAAAAAAAATGACGAAATCCATCAGTAGCAGTCTCAGCTCGGGATGCCTGCTGACTGCTTGCATGTGATCCTACTTCGTTGTTCATCACTGACAACAATTACCCCACCGCGCTTTTATCATGCAATACGGAAGTGTATATGCTTACACGTTAGTTGGGTTAAGGGAAATAAATGATCACATCCGAGTAGTTGCTATCAGTATCGAAGAATGCGGCGGCGAGGTTAATCATGAACGGAAGCATGGTCATTCAGGCAGCGACTATTTCATGTCAGGTGAAATATTATCTTATTATTTGTATGCTATTTATTGAAAATAATTACTCCTTGTATCGTATACCTCCAACTCCATAACAGAATAAACCGTTATTTTGAATATATGCCTCTGTTCTGCACGAAATTCGTGTCACTTGATCATTGTATATCCAAACCTATACCTGCGGACGGAAATAGACCAACCCTTTGATAAAAATTGGTGAAATTTCTACAAATATTCAACTTCGAAAAATCTGGAAATAGGTGCGGAAAGAGCTCAATGCAACTCATCTAATTGGCTTACATTAGCGAGAAAAGGCAAGGTGAAATAGGCAATTTTGTATGCTGCGCAAGGTGAACCACCTTGCGAATTCCATATATAATTCTGAAATTGTATAGTTTCAATTAAATAAATCTTCAAGTTTGTATTCTTGATTTCTATTTTTCATGTGTCTGTCTGTTTTTGGAATTCGCAAGGCAGGTCACCTTGCGAATTTAAAATTGTCCCATTTGTCCAATCAGATGCCGTGAAATCACGAAAATCACTGTCAACAGCGGCGGGCGTCGCGGCGCCTATCAGCGCTTGGGTCACTGCAAGATGCCACGTGGCGGCCGCGTCCGGCACTTTCAGACACACGTCAATGTCGGAATCCGGCAGGTACGTTTTGAGCGGGTACGACCCCAACGGCGTGATCGAATACGAGCACTGGCCGTGGTTCGAATATGTGACGGAGGTACCATAGCAGCTTGGCGCGCACACGTTCCGATTCCAAGGTCGGACCAAACGCTTGGTTGATCATCGCGTCGACTTGGCGGAGGGCGGGACAGCCCAGGATCAACGGGTTGAGTAGCCGCATACACCGCTCCATTCCTCATCACGCCTTTTTGCGATATATTCTACTCCTGTGATGGCTATTGATGCAAGGAGCATTTAGATAATTATGTAGGCTGTGTATGAGAGCAATAATGTGGTATTCAGGTCTCGGTCAATTCTAACAGGTCTCAATTTACCACTTGCCTACTAACCCAATGAAATTCCATCCATCCCGTGTCGGTACCATACATCTCCCTGCCAGTGTGATCACGTGGTTGCGCGGGCGGTGGCACAAGACGTCTTGATTGCACACATCTCAAGTGCTGAAGTGGCGGCTTTAACACTTTGCGATGGGTGCTATGTCACGGGGTTTGTAACTATTTGACGAAGGTAGGCGCGGTGCGAGCGAGCGAACACAAGACACAAGCGTGTAGAGTAAGTCAAAAGTAAAAGTCAAGGTTAGCTATCTAAGTGGAGGCGTCGTTCCGATGTTCAAAGAGTCACCCGAACACTGCGGGAAGTTCGGGGATCTGGCTATTACTGTTTCCGGGCGTAACGGGTTCGACACAGATTAGTCCAAGAGGTACAGTGGGATGATGATCCGGTAACCAGAGATACGCCTGTTACCTGGAAATGTCGTAGTAAAGTCGCTTCCTTTCACCCCGTGACATTCTCCCCCGCTTATGTCCGAAGCTCTGGCAAGGACCAATCAACACACAAATGGTCGTTGGGCGAGAAAGGTCGGTTAGCGCCGTGATCCCAAATAGAATCCCGCAGCCTGACAAGGCGTAAGCAGCGAGGTCGCTTCATTCCGCAACCTGATCCGGAGGCCGCACAGATGGATCACAGTTCGGCGGGGATGACGCCGCCACCGACGGCCCGGCTGAGGGGACCCGCAGAAACTTCCGGGGTGCAGGACGAAGACGCCACTACAGTCTCCTCCGCTGGAGACTCCGCGGCGCTCGCTGAGCAGGCGGCCACTCCGGGGTCGGGTGACCACGCCTCACCAAATTCCTTCTTGCGCATGCACACCGTGCTCTCCCATGGCATCGTAGACTTGCGCAACAGCATTCAGCGAAACGAACGATCGTTACGCGTCCTCCAGGAAGTTCGGGCAGCGATGGCGTCAACCTTGGGGAGCGGCCCCCACGACATGTCGCAAGCTCGTCACGCCCTGGTGGACGAAGTGGAATTCTTGACAGCGACATTGTCTGTGTCACGGGGTTTGTAACTATTTGACGAAGGTAGGCGCGGCGCGAGCGAGCGAACACAAGACACAAGCGTGTAGAGTAAGTCAAAAGTAAAAGTCAAGGTTAGCTATCTAAGTGGAGGCGTCGTTCCGATGTTCGACGAGTCACCCGAACACTGCGGGAAGTTCGGGGATCTGGCTATTGCTGTTTCCGGGCGTAACGGGTTCGACACAGATTAGTCCCAGAGTTACAGTGGGATGATGATCCGGTAACCAGAGATACGACTGTTACCTGGAAATGCCGTAGTAAAGTTTCACCCCGTGACAGCTACCTCTTCCTCCACCACGACATTGCAATCCAACCGAACGCACAACATAATGTTAGCTGTAAGGGGAGAACCACACTGTAAATAGTCGGGGTGAACTCATCAGTTCAGAACTCTCCGGAGCAGCATCACACAAAGCTCTACAAAATTCAAGCGTTCAAACCGTTCAAAATTGTAACCTCTTCTGCCAGTGTTATAGCCAATCGTGTGTAAGAAACAAGGTGTGGTGAACTCTGGTTGGATATTACAAAGTAGCAAGGTGGCTCACCTTGCGAATTCCATGCACACGTCAGTTAAATTCATAAAAAGAGTTGACAGTCTGTGAATCGACTGCTGCAATACTCAAAACAAGATAAATATACGGATACACAGCCTAACTTATCCGAAAAACAGAAGGCGCGCATAGCTGATTTTGAATGAAAGAACTTACGTCGGATCAGCGCCGCGCTGTCGTCGGCCACCTGCTCCTTCATGTCGTGCAGGCTCCATGACAAAACTACGTCATGGAGCCATAAAAGAAGGTACCCGGATCTTTGGTCGCAACTTGCACACCATCGCCGAGATCTGCAGCCGTGCCAACGCCATCGTGTGTGCGGACGGCCTAACCTGCGCAAGAGATTGTCTGCCAAGACGTGCCTTCGCTTAAGAAGAAACGCGTCTGTCGAAAAACGAAGTGCACGGACCTTCCGACTCGAATTCGCACGATCCCACTACAACGGCGAACGACTCTCCAGATCGCCGACGAAATCGACATACCTGCGTGTACACTGAAAGACTACTTACTACACACGCGTTCTCATCGTAAAGTATAATTCCCACATTATACCTAAGGGCTCCTCTGGATACCACACAATAAAAAAATGCCATAAAAAGAATTGAGAGATTTCGCGTTTCGTCCAAAAAATACAATGCTGACCTAAAAACCGAAAATGTTGAAACCGTCTGGATACCGCAAACGAACCAATATCCGGAACTTATTCAGAGTCAATTGCGCGCGAACAAGATTGTTGCAACACGGATGCAGACGACGCACGCTGTCATGTCCCTGCTTCATCGACGCGTCTACCGTCGTCGACGCATGCTCATATTGGCATACATGGTGTATCATTACTCCGCGTTCCTGCTGAAGTCGTCGAAGCGGGTGTCGATCTTGTCCGGCGCGCTGTGGATTGCAGAAATCCTGAACGGGAATGAGGATGCCTTCGTGGAGACATTCCGATTGTCACGGGACACTTACGGTGGTCTGTTATTCGACCTGGTACAACGTGGCGGGCTTCGTGGGACACGCCATATTTCCCCTCAAGAGCAACTTTGCCTATTCCTGTACTTTTTTGGCCACAACGCGTCGTCGACAAACATGCAACAACGATTTCAACACTCCGGACAGACCATATCAAGGCACCTACGACTGATTGTGCTCGCATTGCGGCGACTACTACCGTACTACATCCGACTGCCACCAGAAGAGAGCCCAGCACATCGAGTGATCACAACGAATCCAAAGTTTTACCCCTACTTCGAAAACTGCCGCATGGCGCTGGACGGAACCCACATCCCTGCTTCAAAGACAGCACCATTTCATGATCGAAAGGGCGTGACCATGAACGTTCTCGCTGCGTGCGACTTTGATTTGGTCTTCACGTTCGTGCTTGCCGGCTGGGAAGGTTCTGCCGGCGATGGCAAGGTACGCCCTACAAAAAGGTTTGGCACTGTCATCCACCAAGTATGACCTTGGCTATGCCTTGACCATGAAGTGTTTGACTCCGTACCGAAACACTCTCTACCATCTAAAGGAGTGAGGGATTGGACGATTGAAGCCACGGACAAAGGAAGAGCTGTTCAACTTGCGCCATGCGCAGTTGCGGAATTGCATCGAGAGAATACTATTTGGTATCCTCAAGATGCGCTTCCCAGTTCTTTCAAGTGGAGTTCGTTACGACTGCGCCTTCCAAGTCGACGTGGTGCTGGCGTTATGTGTTGTACACAACTTCATTCGGCTGCGTGGAATACGAAACGATCGATTTGAACAAGAAGCCGACGTTCAGTTGGACGCCGTCGATGATGGCGAATCCAATCCCCCACCCAATGCATTGCCTCCAGAAGAACCAGATAACAAAGCTGCAAAGGAATGGCGTAATTCCATTACGTCGCGTATGGGAGCAGTACAGTGGGAGCAGCAATTATCTCGATGAGACGTCGTCGTAACCGCAGTAATTGATCATTCATGTTGCATTCAGTCCATGAACTTAACTTCAGCACTTACTCGTTGCGCAACTTGTTGACTTAACGCAAGATCCACGTTTCACGTAAGGCAGCATTCATTGAGATGAACACTGTTGCACGTGTCGCATTCTCCAACGCTTCCAATGCCAGCATCATGTCGTCCACAGAGAGAACGCCATCAAGCTTGTCGTGCAGGAGCTTGACAGCGTTGGCAGTTGGGGAAGCTTCTGACGACTTGAACCTCTTGGACATCAACTCGAACTCACGTGCGCAAGTTGTACCCATACCCTGGAACGTCTGCAACAATTGTGACGCCATTGTCAGACGTTGACGCTTGCTTGGCGGCTTGGTCGCGCTGCCAAGAGACGAAAGACGACCGCGTCCATCGATTTCGTTTGTGTTGTCTTCAATGTCTGAGCCAAGGTCACGCGAGTCTTGCAGGTCTTCATCAGAGGATTGATCGTCGGCGCGGGTTTGAGTTGACGGTGGATTAGTAGAGGCAACCACCAATAGGTCTTGAGCCAGGGTTCCACGGAAAAGTGCCTCGCAAAGGTCGAACTGTGGAAACCTTTTGTGGCGCCATGCACCCCATGACTTTGGCTTGCCGTCCAACAAGGCCTCCCACGTAGTCGTATGACACTCCGCACGGCATGTTGCCGATTCCCATCCCATGCCGCTGCTGTTCACGATTGATGATATCACTGCGTACGCGCCTTTGACCGTGTCGTGCCGTGACTTGAGTTGTTGCAGTGAGAATGGAATGATTTGTCCATGCACGTCGTTGAGTGTCTTGAGAGGTGCAGCCCACGCTTCTTTCTTGTACCCGCTTCGAGCACGTTTCCCGACGACAACGACTTGATGCACAAGCTCCTTCAACCAGGTTATGTCCAGTTCATCGGTCCAGAGTCCCATGATTTGCTTGATGTGTTCCCGTGTTCTTTCGAAATGCGCGGGTTATGGAATGGACATCGGTGTTGAAGTAGGTGCACTGGCTCTACAAGAGATATGGGCCTTTTTGGTCCATTTTTATTTGCCATTTTATCGGCTGATTTCGTCGTGATTTTGGAAATAAATTTATTGGATTTGGTGGTATCCAAACGACCAAATTTTTTCATTTCTTCATTTCTGGATTTTATGGAGAAATCCTTTTATGCCATAATTCGTGGCACCCAGAGGAGCCCTAAGCTAACTGAAGTGAACAAAGTGGCCCCGATAAAATGGGCAATGGATTTCAAGCAACCTCCAGTTCGACGACATGTATACGACTACGTCCACGTGGATGAGAACTGGTTCCACGCGACAAAGATCAAGTCGTGAGTGTGCCTACTGCCCGGCGAAGTCCCTCCCCACCGCGCTACCCAGAAAAAGCGCTTCATCACCCAGGTGATGTTCCGCGGGATGACGCCAAATCCGAGTGGTTCGACGGCAAAATTGAGACCTGGCACTTCACGTAAGTCATTCCAGTAGCTCGTGAGGCGCGCAATCGTCCAGCCGCCACGCTCGAACTCCGCCCTATCAACGTCGCACACACAGTCTACAGGATGATGCTGATTGAGAACGCCATACCAGCAATCAAGGACAAGTGGCCCGCGTACAGTACGCACAGTGTTGTGATCCAGCAGGATAACGCTCGGCCACATGTTCCGACCTGGAACCAGTCGGTTGTAGTGACGTGCACGTCTGATGGTTGGTCCATGCGTCTTCAGTGCCATCCACCGGACTCGCGCATGAATGCCCTTGACCTCGGATTCTTCCGCGCGATTCAGGCTCCATAGCAAAGCCATCACTGGAACACGTACGAAGACATCGTTGCAGCTACGAACCAAGCGTGACAGGATGTCGACCCTTGGTCGAAGGAGCATAACTTCTTGACGCTGCAGTGCTGCCTCCGATAGAATATTTAAACTCAAACTTCCTACTTCAGTATAAAATTAAATATATTTTCTCTTTTCACGGGCTGTACTTTACAGTTTAGAATCCTTGGACAGGTGCCGAAAGCACGCTTCCATGAGCTCAAACGACAAAAAAGATGACGAGGACGTCCAATAATCTGTGTTTGCTCTATAACACTAACCAGGTAGTCGAGTGCTAACATGTATATATCAAATATATATAATAGTATATGGTGTACACTCTCAACCAAGTATCTACATTTTCCCGTTAAAGTTCCGTTGTGATTTGGGTGTCGTGGGTTGAGGTTGCTGGTGCATATACGAAGCACATTGAACCAGGCGTGACAGGATGTCGACCCTTGGTCGTAGGAGCATAACTTCTTGACGCTGCAGTGCTGCCTCCGAGAGGTCATCCATCTTGTGCGCCGGAGACAACTCCTACAAGATCTCGCACATCAAGAAAGTGGCGCTGAAGAAATCAGGGCTCATACCTGAGACCTTCACCTGTGGTCGCGACGTGTTCGACGTAGGGTGTGTTTGCTGGGCAAGCGCGACCTTGAGAAAATGATGTACGATCTTCCGGTTGAAACGGCCGCCGATTTGGTGATGACTTGTTTGTGGAATTAGCAAGGTGACTGGCCTTACTTCTGATTATTAACCAATCAAAGTGCTTCGTGGTTTCTTGCCATATAATTGGTCGAGACGATCGTTTTTGTCGACTTCAAAAATGCCTAAGAGGCTCTTCCAAGTACCGTCGTACTTTAAACCCAAAATGCGTTCCCAAGTAGGTTTGTCGTTATTTCATCGCACTTTGGTCGTGCTTTTGTCGTGTATTCTGCTTCCACGTGATTGGCTAGTGATGGTTTTGTCGAGGGGGTATATATAGGATATTAGAGGTGCCGATATGCGCGAAGGAAGTAAGGAGATTTCGCATATATTGTAAACTTTTATACTTTAAAAGCACAGGAATAAATAATTTTACAGTGGAGTCCACATCAATAAGGGTGTCTAAACCTATACAGAGAACCGGGGAGAAACTCACCCACCCTAGAAACTCACCCACCTCTAAAAATGGATGTATTTTTATTGCCAAACGATGACCTCCATAAACAGATTTAATGAAACCTAGCCAATCACAAACCATATAAAATAAGTCGTTATGATTGGTGCGTTTGAATTTCACAAGGTATTTTCAAACCCGACAGTTTCAAACGCTCCACCATGCCTCCACTCCGCAAGCAGCACGCCTACACCATTGATCGAAAGCGCGAGTACTTCGTCCTCTTCGACGCATTCGGTGGCAGTGCTCGTACGTTTTGCGCGCTGCATGGACTTCCACGGGAAACCTGGAAGTCGTGGACGAAG